GAACCACGTGAATGAGAAGAAGATAACTCAGTACTCTACGTACTCAGCCTGTTTTTATAAGGTTGGGGTCAACTTGGTCGCTCCTGGTACTTTGCAGATATATTCGAAACCGTTCAGGCTTTGGGGTCCCTCGTCCAGCGATAGTAAAGGACGTCCGTGCGGCCAAAGGTCAGGCTGGTTGCGCCTTCGTTGTCACACGCAAGTCAACATATATCACTTGCATGTGACGTCAGTGCTTCAAGATGCCATTTGAGCAGCGTTGAACAGCTTTTGTCGTGGTTTTGTCGTGCAACAGCTTTTGGCTAAATGCCCGGGAGACTGATTTTTACGTATTTCGCAGATGGCACGGTATATAGGTGGCAGCAATGTGCGGAACGCTTATAGATGTCTCTGCACACGTGGTCGCTGCGACACTTCACCGCTTAAGTACAAAAGTACATGTGAAAAAGTACACATACAAGCACGCAATGTTGGTATCAAACACACGTGATGTAAAAAGGTCATATAGCAGAAGTGCGTGGGCAAACAAATTGCAAAAGTTTGCAGGCAAATGTTGGTATGGCATGAACTACGTTTGGAAAATGTAAATATCAACAAAAGCGCATCTGGAGAAAAGTTTGCAAGAAAGGTTCTTACGCATAAAGAATGAACGTAACTTTTCGTGAACAATTAAGGGTACGAAATGCTCAAATAGGGTGAAGCTGGTTTCACAAAAAATACATACACAAATGGTCGTGGGCAGCATAGGCGTGTGTGTTGGTTGCCGTAGGCGCACTCCACTTTCAGAGAAAGGTAACCATTACGCTGACAGTGATGTATGGATAAAATTAAGGTTGAGATCGCATCCATGAGGAGTGTCCCAGCATAGATCGACCTCAAGGGCACCAAATTATTCGCCGGCAGATCTTCGCTGGAATTTTGTTTCCGGGGATGGTCCAGTTGATAATTCCAGCTTTATCCAGCATGCGGTTTTAATATGATTCTCCCGAACAGTATTGGGTTGGGTGCAAAACAAGGCCCATAATCAAAAGGGGTGCATCAGCACGGGGCCAGCTGGTGCACCATTGTCTCAGGAGTCCGATTTACTTTATGTAGGCGGTTGTATACCGGGTGCCACTGGCACGTCTGCTCGCCGTATTCCACAAGCGTGCTGACTCGTCGCATCCGTCAGCTGCGTCAGCGGTGCGCTCAAGGGCGTCAGGCGAAGTTCACAATGCATCTTCAAGGTGAAAGATAAGGGAAAGCACAACAAGGTCGGCGGGTAATCTTCAGTGGAAAAGTTTTTTGTGTTAACCTCCAGCCACCCTCATCGCAGACTCAAGTTAGACAACCTTAACTGTTGAAAGTTTATTATTTGCTGGTAGCTCAAACCATAACATTCATGTCACCAAGAGTTAGCTAGCCATAATACATGACCTGACTGTGCCATTGCTACTGTCCAAGGCCATCCCTTACACCCTCCTCTCCCCAGTGGACGGATGGTGGTGGCCCTCGTAGTAACCATATAGCCGGCACCTGACACCAAAAAATGAATATCTGTATTCTAACATTCAGGTTACATTTGCATGCAAAGTGTTGCTTACGTGCTAACTTCAAGCGAATTCAATCCCTGACAAACGCTTTCGTACAACCTTTGCGTGCATCAGGCATCGAAATATGAATCTTTACTCACGTTTTTTTTTTTAAAGACGAACGTTGTCGTTGACCAGCATTGTATATATATATATATATATATATATATATATATATATATATATGTATGTGTGTGTGTGTGTGTGTGTGTGTGTGTGTGTGTGTGTGTGTGTGTGTGTGTGTGTGTGTGTTGTGTGTGTGTGTGTGTGTGTGTGTGTGTGTTTGTGGGTGTGTGTGTGTGTGTGTGTGTGCGTGTGTGTGTGCGTGTGTGCGCGTGTGTATGCGTGTATGTGTGTACGCGTGCGTGCGTGCGTGCGTATGTAATAGAAGTACATGAAAAGTATTTTTACACATTTTGGAGCCACGGCGTACTCGTGTGAGGTAATTTCCTACAAACACCAACGAGACTAGTCATGTTAGCCTCCCTAGACGTCAGTAAGCTGTTAACAAATGTCCCTGTCAAAAATACTTAACTATAAAGCAAATGCGCCTACCATCACAGAGGCCGTGCCCGCACCAGGCTTACCTAAGCAGCAGCATGCGTGGGATATTGAGCTTATGCACTATCAAGGCGCCCTTCCGATGCCCTAAAGCAAGGCTGTCTTACCAAACTGATGGCATTGCAGTGGCTCATCACTGAGCTTGCTGTTTGCCCAAGCCTTGATGTCCCCGGATGATGAAACTATACTCGTGGATGCTGTCCATAAAACCTCCGTGTGAATATGCTGATGACATACTGGCGGACACCGACGATCTCAACGCTCTGGCCGCGTTGGAAGCCAGACCAGAACTTATGTCAGGCCTAACTTTCATCATTGATGAGTGTGTTCGGAAAAATTGGCTTTCTAAATGTATCAGTCAACACTTCTGACCAAACCAAAACTGCGAGTGCTCTCCAAGAGCATACTGACGCTGGCGAATGCCTGAACGAAGACAGCGTATGTCCCGACAGCAAAGAACCAGTGTGATATGACATTACATCCCCTATGTCATTAAGGCTCGTCGTGGTCTCTTGCATACTAGAAGTTAAGGCAAGTCAAGCAAATTCTAGCGGGCAATGACGACGGCATGCGTACCGTGAAAGATGAGTTCAACCGAGCCATGTCACAGACAGTACCTAAAACCGAAAAAAACAGAGCACCACACCGGATGCCACCTGTTTTTGAAAAACGTGATACACCCTGGGTACAAGGCTGGTGACAAAAAACTTGGCAGCAGCCATCCATCATAGGTGTCTGTCTAATAAAGGATCCCAACGATACCATCAAACTTAACACCATTACCAAAGTCAAACTACACCTTCTATGACCGTGAAAAAACAACGCTGAACATAACGCAGCGCCACTTAATGAAAACAACGAAATATATCATTAAAATTGTAGCATGGGGGACCGTTCGCTCCTACATAACAGTGCATGTATATGCCACACAACAGCAACACTCTCCAGGCTGCCCACCACACCCTACAAAACGACGAGCCCACACACACACACACACACACACACACAAACCACACACCCACAACACACACACACACACACACACACAAACCACACACACACCACACCACCACACACACACACACAATCACACACAAACCCTACGCAAAACCCACCTGACGCGTCTAATGCTAAACAACAATGCAACAACCATCGCGAGCTCTATGCAGAGGCGGAGACTCATCGCTCTTTAGGCGATGTATCGCCTATAGAGGATCCCGTTCGTGACATTCGTGAAAGCATGTATGCATCCACGTGGTACCCTCAATCTGTATGGGTGGGTTGGGGGGGGGGGGGGGCGGCACCATTAGAGCGCATGTTCGGGATCCTTGAGTGTTTGTTGCGTCATCGGTGAGCATTTGGCAAAATTGTGAATATATTAAGCACGAGTCCTTAAGTTTGCATTACGATATGCACGCAGCATGATTGTTTTATGACTATTTTGCGAAAGAGGACGCCTCTTGCTAAGATATCGATCTTAAAGCTATCGCGTGATACCCTGAAGCTTAGAAATGTGTGAATATATCCACAGTTGCTTAATCTATGTTATATGGACACTGTCTGTGGACTTTGTCCAAAGCTGTTACTCTAGAAAATGTCCCATGCGAACAACGTTGGACAGTAACAGGATGAAACATTGAGCAATACAACTGAAACCAGGCCACGCAGTATTACATCTATACGTTCTTTTTATCATAAGTTGTGGTGCCATCTTAAACAAGGATCGACAAGAAGTTCAAAATATCTTCAGATCAATCGAGAGAATGCAACAAAAAATATGCATGCCAAGTACTCTGTTACCTTTATTAAAATAGGTCCCCCTCTCTATTGAAAACAGAGAAAAAGAGAGAGAAGATCGAGAAGGAGAGAGAGAGAGAGCCCCCCTCTCCCTAGAGCGAGAGAGATACCCTAGTATATTCTCTCTCTCTCTCCTCTCTCTCTCTCTCTCTCTCTCTCTCTCTCTCCTCTCTCTCTCTCTTTGTCTCTCTCTCTCTCTCTCTCTCTCTCTCTCTCTCTCTCTTTCTTTAGTTCTTTCACTTACATGCATATAGGTTGCTCGTCTCTGACTCGCACAAACCAACCGCCAGCTGAGTTCGACATCAAACAATAGGGTCAATGGTTCGCAATTGAAGTGAGCCGCCTACTCTGCAGAAGAAATGCTAGATGTCCTAGATCCTGAAATAGGCTCCGGTTCCTATAGACGCCTCAGCAGATGGCATGCTCCTTGATCTGGCCCATGGCCCCCTGAGTGCTGCAGCTGGTCGCTGCTGAAGTGGAAAATCGCTCCTGATACTGTTCTTGCACCATTGCTATCGATCTCCTCATTAGAGCCGCTGAATTCGTTTGCATCCCATGTTCCGTACTAATTTAAGCGGGCAGTCAAATGAAGTATATTGTACGCCTGAATGCACGACAATATGATGATTAACATAACAAACCCAGCGGTTATCCCGCATATTGTATGGAATCAAAGTCTTACGTCCCAACCAAGCCTAAATAGATGATGCCGCTTGCACCTCTCCGGCCGCATCGCTCATCTGAACATTTCAACGTTACGTAATACAAAACACGTGAACTTACGTCACATAACACTTAAGACCACCCAAGCACAGGCTCATTTCAGAACGGCCACTCCGCCGATTTTCGTGTATCCAACGACCGTTGCTTCCCATCCGACCATTTCTTCCCGGAGTCCACCCGGCAGCGGGTCCGGCGGCCCGCCACGTTGCACCGGGCCGGGGCTCGCCAGCGAGAGCGACGCGCGCCATCGGGAGCGCTCTCACGGCGCGTGGGAGCGTGGCTATCAGCGACGGCAGCGATGGACCGGAAGGACAGGCTACGCTCACGTTGGCGGTGGGGACAGTAGCTCACCCGAGTAACGCGACCGGCGGCGGTGCTGTCAGCTCTTCCGCGGCTCCTGAGGTACGCCGCTGCTCTCCTCCTAGGGTCACCAGCTCCCTTCGCTGCGGGAGCGCTTAAGCGTGTGTCCTGTTGTATCAAAAGGATGCATGCATAGATGTGATTTACGAACTGCACGACATCTTAATGGTTCAATGAACCTTTCGTGATCAAACCAGGGTTATGGTGTGAAGTAAAACTAAGCAGCTTTTTAGAACCATTGTGTGTCCCCTGGCTACTAAGCTGACTAGAGCGCCCTTCAGACTCCTGCGCCTGTGTTGGGGTGTATGCCTGTGCAGGGATGTATTCAAGTCGCTTTGCCGCACTCCCTATTTACCCCGGACTGGGGTGCCAGGCGGCTGGTGGCAGCAGCCGCGCAAGGTCACGTGACGTTGGGGGGTAGGGCCGGCTGTGCCGAGCGTTGCGGCATGGTAAGTCTTCGCCGCAAGATTCTGCTGTTGACTTGGTATTTCTCGATGTGATGGAGGGGGTCGGAGGGCAAGCAACAAGCAATGCTCAGCTTCGGTTCTGATCCCATAAATCCAACCCATCAATAGGTCTGGAGTGAATCTCCGAAGCAAGAACAAAAACAAGGAGTGCGAGGTAACTTGATTAGTTGTCCTCGCCAGTCACATCAAACATGACCGTGCGCTGCCTAAAGAGTCGAAATCAGCTGTTGCCGAAGTGCTATCTCAGTCTGCGCACACAAATACTGGCTTTATTTTCCCATTGTTGAGATTGCGTTAGTAGTCTCATGGCATCAGTACATTCACCTACATTAGCAAGTGAATTGACTTCTTCATTTAGTTGTTCCACCCTCCGAGATCTAACATTGAACCCTTAAAAGCAGATAAAAGACGATATACATCGCTTACCCTTGATCATATGTCGGATAGATAGCGAGCAAGTGATCTGCCCCTTAGTTTACACTTTTAACTGTTTCACCTTCCATCAAATAATGCTGGCATCGTATCGCTCTAACCAAAGGACATGTGGGCCTGCTCTCGACTCGTGTTGTGCAGCGTTTAACAATTTATTGTTTTATTGTTTCAATTTACTTGTTTTTTATAATTTTACTGTTTCCAGGCTTATTGCACCGCTGACCAAAGAGCTATACGCAAATGCTCTGAACTTAATCAATACAACCTTAAAACCGTTTCGGATGTTCCCACTAAATGGTAGATGAAGCGGGTGATCAGTGACTGCGGTGGTGGCTTCATGAACACGTGACAGCCGTGCTGAGTCGGTGCACGGCTGGTTCGCTTAAAGTGAATTAATACTATCAGCCAGCATCCGACGCATTCCTTAAACCCGCACCGGCGGGGGGTCTGAGACAATTGCGTCCGCCAGAGGGGGGGGGGGGAGTTGACTCCCTTGGGATCTCCAACCTCCAGACGCCGTTTAAAAAAGGTACCGTTTTGAAGGTCTCGTCAAACTATGACGAATGCAGGCTAAAGTTTTGGCCTTAGGTGAAACGTGAGGTCACCAGGGACCACGAAAGGTCAACACGGTGTTTTGATGAATGCAGTTAAAACATATGTCAATGCGTCAAGACGAATGTTGAGCGCACGGAAATAAGAGTTAAGACTGTGGGTGGCCTATTCCGGATATTCCTGGTCCCTCACATGGATCATGTCAAAATTGATCTACCAGGAGCCCAGAGGAACGATGTTTTCCTCCACACTTTGCTTTCGCCTAAGTTTATTCTGTTAGCGGAGACTGTAAGAAAACTCATTCCAGACGCAAAATTACCATTTCAGGGTAGTCTAGAGGTCATTTGAAGTCAACTTAGGTCAAAATTTATATCCCATCCAGCTAAAATATTTGAGTGCTGACCGCGTATAGTGCATTTCACATTTACAGGCGCCGTAGATCGAAAAGCTACCGTCTACATTACACATAGTTCCTTCGCTGCTTGGCAATGTATTTGTAACGAAATGAGAAGAGGTACGTTGGTACATAGAATTAGAGGTCGTTAGCTTCACAAACATGGCGAGGAGGTGGCTACACGTGTCGCATCCGTTCATCTAGCCCCTCCACTACTGGCAACAAGTCCAAGTCCTAAGAGATTGACATTTTGATGTTTGAGAAGACGCATTTGTTTGGATCCCTGAAGTCGCCTAGCTTCATTCGCTTATATGTTTGCTGTATTTATTGTATTAAAAAGCTAATTACCGCATAACTTTGTTTTTCCCATAAGAAGAACGATATGAACCACTGTTCTTCCAATGAGAGTAATCAATCCCTAGACAGTTCTACAAGCCCGCGCCTTTCCTGTGGCGTTTTGGGCACGGCGTATTCCGCTCCACGTGGCGCAGTCGCGGCCTCGTTACCTGACCCCTGCGCCGGTGGCCGAAGGTGCACTCCTGTCCCGCAGACATGTCGCTGCTGCTGCCGTGGTTGCTGCCGGTGCTGGCCGCGCTGGGCGGCGTGTGCGGGCTGCGCCGGCCACCGCTGCTGATGCCGCCGCCCAGGGCGACGGAGGTGCCACTGCCGCCCGACCAGTGGTACACGCAGCGGCTGGACCACTTCCAACCTACTGACCAGCGCACCTGGCAACAGGCAAGTGGCCCCTGCATGTTATACGTTATACGTGATCTGTGCGATGAGGGTGGATTTGTACCTCTTTCCGGCGTGGTGTATTTCTTATGACATTCTGATGTCTTCTCCTGAGCGTGAGATCGTGGTGTGCTTGTCTTTTTCCCCCGAGAACCACGCTTCCGTCACCAACGCGGTCATCGAAGCAGAGCGCCCCCCCCCCCCCCTAACACTATGATCTCGCCCCGCAGCGCTACTACACCAATGACTCGTTCTACAAGCCTGGTGGGCCCGTGTTTCTGATGATCGGCGGTGAAGGCCCGGCCAGCCCCGTCTGGATGGTCACCGGTCAGTGGATCGAGTACGCCAAACAGTACAACGCGCTCTGCTTCCAGCTGGAACACCGCTTCTACGGCAAGAGCTACCCGACCGAGTGAGTGGCCCTGGCTCCGTTGTTGTTGAGTTCTGCTGTTTATTGTTGTACTTATCGGCAGGACGTGCCAGTATCACCACCAAAAGCAAGTTGTGAATCCCAGCCTATTCTGATCACCTGCTTTATGATACCGGTTGAAACATCAACGAAACAAACGTCAGCGAACGTCATCTAGGACTAAAAGACAAAAAGGAAGACAAGAAGACAAGGACAAAAAAGAAGACAAGAAGACAAAGACAAAAAGAGACACCAAATTCACAGGGTGTGTTGACCTGTACGTGAGCTCACTTACGTCAAAGTTTGAGGTTTCTAAGTCATGCCCTTTGGGTCAGATAAAATCAGAGTTCAAATTCCAGATTAGCCTCCAAAGGGCCCCTTTAACCCAAGCAACTGTTCTAAGCAAAATATCGCACGCTTAGTTAAGTTCAGTGACTTTGTTTAACCTTTTAAAGGTCATGGTGACCAAAATAATATAAGGCTGCTTTCAGTTTTGCATTTGGATAAACGACAAAGATTACGCTGGGCAGTATGTGTAAAAAAAATGTTGACCTTTGTCATTCTAGGTCAGTGATCTGTTCTGACCTATAAAAGTCCATGGAAGGTTATAATACGGCTTCTGCTATCAACGTATTCGAGATGAGTGCCGGGAATCAGCCCATACAGCAAGCTCGAGAGTAATAAAACAGATTAGTTTTTACCTTGGTCTGACCTTCAAACCTGGCCCTAAATCAATGCCATTTGTTCATTCCATTGTTGTGTTGCCTATGAAAGTATCAAAGAGATGTATGGCTCCGTCTAACACTCAGTTGTTTGATCGGGTTGAACGACTCCCTAGAAATTGCCTGCACTGAAACCATGGTCTGAATTTGACCTTTCATAGGTCAGCGAACTAACAAGGTACATCTAAATTGCTGATGCCAGACGATTTGCCATTTCATTGTCTACAGCTGTGAAAAATTTGGCACGGCTACGCTGCGACGTTCGGAAATCATTCCGGGAAAACCTTCGGAGGGATGGGTCAATTTGAACCCCCAACCCGAGCGTGTTAAGCGAGAGTTCCTACATGCCATCGGTACGTGATAACGCGTTTTAAATAAATGTAAGATATGCAGGCCTTTTATTGAGTGAATGAGAGTTTCTGTACCTTGCAGTTTTTTAAGACATGAAGAGCACAGTTATAGAGTATATTTTATGTCATTATAGAATGCATTATAAATTCAAATGTGCTGCGACGTGAATACATACATACACTCACACGACAGGGACATGAGCGTGGAGAACCTGCGCTACCTGAGCTCGGAGCAAGGCGCTGGCCGACCTGGCCGCCTTCTCGGCTGCCATGACCTCAGAGTACAGCTTGGACGCTGACGCGCGGTGGGTGGCGTTCGGCGGCTCGTACCCGGGCAGCCTGGCCGCCTGGTACCGGCTCAAGTACCCGCACATGGTGCACGCGGCCGTGTCGACGAGCGCGCCCCTGCTCGCCAAGACCAACTTCCTCGGTCAGTGATGCCGATGTGACTGATGGAGAACGGTGGGGAACGGTTTGGGGATGGTAGGAGTCATTAGGAAACGGGAGAAATGATGGAGGAGGGGGAGGGGGGGGGGGGCATACTGTACGTCATGGTGCAAGTGGTGTAGATTCTCTTTGAAGCTGAATGTTACTTGAATTTTGACCAGATCGACGACGTGCGGCGCAGAGGTCTACGTGAGATGACAGAGCATATTTTTGAGACGCTACGTGAAGATCACCGTCACGTTGCTGATCGTGTCTGGCCTGGACGCATCTGAAATCATTCGTAACTTCCTCCGTCTTGGAGCGCTTCCAGACGCACACCTATGGCCCGGTTCCTTTTGACTTCGCCACCTGAACCCAATGACTGAATGTTGGTTTCTTCACACGCACCGAACCAAATCACTTCTGCATTGCTGGTGACCAACGACGACCGGCTGACGCCGCTGCTGTCCGCTGCAGAGTACCTTCAGGTGGTTACTGACTCGATCGAGGCAAAGTCCGGCGACCAGTGCTACGACGCCATTCAGGAGGCGTTCACCGAGCTGGAGGTGCTGCTGGCCGACGAGGTGGGCTGGGCGGCCCTCAGTCAGCAGTTCAAGTGAGTGGTCGCCACCGCTGACGGGATGCGGCTGACTGGCTGGGCGGCAGAAGCAGACGGATAGCAAAATCGCGCGGGGACGCAGGATGGAGGCGAGGATGACCCACGGCACACTTTTTAACATTGGAGGTTTGAAATACGCACACTGAAAGTCGCGTAGCAGACTTTTCATTGCGCCATTTTCTTCTCCGTTTCTGTGTTTTTGAATCCGGTAAGTATTTCGATCCAGTACGTCTGATCATTTGTCCAGCCCTCTGTTACTGTACGGTGCTTTTCATGCTGAAAATGAGTGACCCTTGATGCACATATAGGTAATGGCTAAAAGAGGATGGGTTGTTTGGTATTGCTGTTTAACCGGTACCTCCGGGCATACTGAAGTTGAGGCATTTTTATAAGAAGAACGCACAATACCACTACGAAAAAAAACGGCGGCTCAAGACGTTTTGCTGGCACAGTGTTTCTGGATGTTTGTGCTCGTGCATTGCACTTCTACTGAAACGCCTTCGGCACGCGTACCAGCACTTGTCTCAGCACAGAACAAAATACCACACATCCGGACGGCAAAACCTCGGGTCTCAACTTGGGCTAAAACAATAGATATGAACAACCACAAACGGTGCCTGAAATCAGACCTAGGTAGCCTTCGTATTGTGGCGATTAAAATTCGTTTTCGGAAATTACATGAAACGAGTCATCTTGGCCCATGGCCAGTTGAGATCCGTTGATGCCAGATGTCGTGCTAACGTATGCTGCATACGAAAACTGTGATGTTGATATTTGCTATGACCTTGAACACCACATGGCCAATGAAGTGGTAGAATTCGCAGGGTGTCTCTATGGCGGCATGCATGCCCGAGTGACCTTGACATAGTCTGCATGAGTTTGCGGGGGGTCTAGGTCAGAAACCAAACGGTCTTAAGTCTTAAAAGGGGAAGGGCTGTGAAATGTACTGAATGATTTTCAAAATAGCCATATCAGCTTAAAACCCATACAAATGTAGAACATTTGATGAACCCCTATATAAAACAGACCACGACAGGTGTGTAATCTGCTGCGCAGGCTCTGCTCCCCGTTCAACGGCAGCGTGGTCCTGGATGTCTCCAACCTGGTCTCCAACCTGGCCGACCTCTTCGAGGGGACCGTGCAATACAACGAGGACAACCGCGGCTTTGAGGGCGCCAAGGATGCCAACATCACCATCAATGTGCTTTGCGATGTGAGTTCAACACAAAATTACACACAAGGGGTTAAAGAGGGGACCGCGTGAGGTTAATCCAACTGGCCGATTGCTAAACGACCTGTCCCTTTTGGTCGGAGCGAATAGCGATGGCTTCGAGGGACGTCCTTATGATGCTGGATGGTGAGTCCTGGAACTGTTCCGTGGGCCGGAGTACCAAAAAATGCGCCAAACAGTTAATACTTACGCCTCGCACACCTAGCCTGAAACGTAGCTAACAGGCACACCAACACAACATGCCAAGTAGTTTAGTTGCTACGTCCCGGCGGTGCGCCACCCAGCTGAGGGCTTTCTTTTCTCGGCCGTGCAGGTGATGACGAGTGAAGAAGGCAACGCCATAGACCGGCTGGCTCAGGTGAACCAGCTGCTGATGACGGCGCACGACCAGCAGTGCCTCGACCACACATACGACTCGATGATGAAGCAGATGCAGGACGTGGACTTCTCCAGCCCCAACAACAGCGGCAGTGAGTCTCGCTGACGATGCAAGCCATTGCAATGGGTTTGGGAGGACTCAGGTAGACTGTGTGTTGGGCGCGGACATTTTGTTGACTGTCGTGGGCGTTGAACAGGCTGTTTCATTCAGTCTTATTTTAGAGCTTATCATTGCAAAATGCAAATGTTGTTCAATGCGTATTATGAACATCTGATTGCGGGGTACATTTTCATGCATTTGTCGGAATTTTTTCATTAGCACGTTGTTCAGTTTATCAAACCCTTCCCTTCTCCCCTCCCCCAAATATGTCAAGCCGGTTTGTTCATCTCAAGCTCCATTCACCTGCGTCGAAGAAGTCCACAGAAACTTTTATTTTCCTGCTGCTTCCTTCCCACTGTTAGCGGCACCCCCGACCCGATAAACAACGTGCGTGCAGGCTCTGGTCAAAATTAGAAACAACAAAATTTTGTGAACCGTAAGCTAGTTTATGAATGACATTTTTCAAGTCGGAACTAAAGGCAAACACATGTGAAATATGCGTGGCGGGACGTTTCCTCGTGGTTTATTTTAAACATTTTCTCCCGTTTAATTGGAGAGCGCTGCCCGTCTCGAAAGGGCTGACAAACGATAAGACCGAAAGTCAAAAGTAAGCTAGTTTTAAATTGGAGGGCGTCTATATTGTTTGCTACCCGTCATCTTTGGGCCATTCTGTGAGGATCGCATCAACAGCGCCTGGCCGTTTCGCGTCGCGCTCTGACCGCCTCCCCCACCCCGCCTGTTTGGCAGTGCGCCAGTGGATTTACCAGACGTGCACGGAGTTCGGCTGGTACCAGACGTCTGACTACGGCCGGCAGCCGTTCGGCCACCACATGCCGCTCTCCTTCTCCGTGCAGCAGTGCATGGACGCTTACGGTGCCGGGTAAGGGCCCAGTGCCGGGCGCTGCGGCCGCCGGCCCAGCCTGGGTGGCATCGGAGTGTGTGAGAGGCTGCTGGAGCGAATGATCCGCCGACCCACAAGGCTTAAGTCATCAACGTGATTTGATGTCGGTTTCGCTCTGTTTGTCATTGTCACAAGTCATGCAGCCGATGTGTGCTGGGATTTAGGCAGATGGGTGAAGACTTAAGCGCACATATGCCGCTGCCGCACCGCTCGCGGTCCACGCCGACGACGCTCAACGCCCCACGACTCAGGGGACGTTCCGAGACAAGCGTTACTCTATTCACGTCCTCGACGCTTGTCGTAACGCGGTACCACCAGAAGGCCCCGTGTTTGCACAGCGCCCCATGGAGCTGTGAAAGGCCGCCTGTACTGTGGGCTGCGACAGTGCCCTGGGCGCCGAGCCCTATCGTTGGTTATCGGCGGGATGTGGATTCCCTCCGACCAGATGGGCGGTCTCCCACAGGTGCGCCGACACGCACTGAACGGAACCATGGTTCCTCCAAATACGGTTGAGCATCGAGCGTCAGCTGTCAAGTTTCCCAAACCTGGACTTGAATTAAGATGTTGCTTGATATTTTCGTCGGTGGCTAGCTCACCTAAAGTTTGACCTAAGTAAAAACGCCACAATTGATATTTTTCATTGCTTTTGGTTTTTGACTATTACGGTACTCCATACATAAGTAATCCAGCTTGCTCCTCCATACAATTCCATTCCATTTCAAGCTAGATGGCTGCACATTTGTTTTCCGCACAGACGGAGGCTTTGATAGATTGGGCAAGATTGGCTGTTTTAAATTCCGGTCAAAGCTCACATGATAGAGGGCGGTTTTACATAAATAACTGATATTCTAACTCATTTTATATACTGGTATATAGGAGTTAGAATATCATATATATATATATATATATATATATACATATATATATTGACTGATATTTGGCGTCAGCTAACTGCTTATCTACACCTACAAGATACTTTTGCGTTAGGACGCTCACCAGCGTAATATCATCTATTTCTATCTTACCATTGTGTCAGATATTAGACCAGGCATCGTCGGAGGGCGGTTGAGGAGGGGGGGGGGGGGGCTAACAATGACAAATGAAACCTTTTTCACACGTCGCATCAACATAAAAGTTTCTTCCTGGATTTGGTCAACTTTTCCAAAGTTTGGAGGGCTCAGGTGTAAGTCGAGGGAGGGGGCTGAAGCCCAGGTTATGGGAGGAGGGGGTTCAGCTCCCCTAATAGAATAAGCAAACTACGCTCCGGACCTGTATGTCTTCTGGCCCAAACCCACTTGCCCGACTTCACTCGATTCTTTCACAGCTGCTCTTGAAGTGTAAGTCCATACAAGACCATCCCACTCCACTGACTTATCAGTATTTGTAGTCCAGCACAAAGAAGTAAAACAGCGCCGAGACTGACCTGTGTCAGGAGCCCAGTAGTCATTCACCACGCACACGAGCAGACGTGAGGCAGGACACGCGTCATGCTGTATCGTCTGCCGCACCTGCGTAGCTTTCTGGCAGGCAAACAAGAGAATACCTGCCCAGTGCACGCGAAGGCCTAATTTGTGGGCATTCGCAAATGTATTATATTCCTCGACGACGCAGCATTGCGCACGCTCGGATCGGTTCTGATCTTTCGCAGGATGCTTAGAGCTGTGTCCTCCACAATCGCTCGTTGTTTTGTGTTTTGTTGTTTTTTGTTGCGGTATGTGTTCTCTGGTCTTGCTGCTAAGATGTTGTCATGGAAGTCTGCAGTCCCCTGTGTTTGTGACTGCTGAGGGATTATTGGGTTGGACAGGAACTTCCATGACAATGACCGGCGTAAGAGGACTCGCCGACGGGCGCAATGTGAAGCAAAACAAAAATCATAATTACGGTGTAAATCTGTGTCTATTGTGGTGAAGCAGCAATTTTCCATTTCTGTAGACATTCCACTAACCAGCCTCCATGGAAGGCTCATGTTGAAAGTGCCGAAACTGGATGTTGAGCCATACATACAAGACTAAATGCACGCTGAAAAATGAAATGATCAGATTCCCATTACTATATTGTCCATGTTCCATTCTGCAACGTGTCGAAGATGTTTCCAAGATCTCATTGTAGCAGGGTAGCATCAAACAACATACATTTGGAAAGCTTTCTCAACTGGTTAAGCTACATTGTTTCCATTCATTTGTATCAACTCTAAGGAACACCAGAGGTGTAGTTTCATTTTGTTGAGTCACCTCAGCCCCCCCAACTCAAAGACAAAAAAGCGGGAATAGGTTTAATCATTTTCACTGCTTAGTCTCTCAAACTCTTTTGGAACGTTACGTCCATGAGTAACACCTTGCTGAACTTCTATTTGAATTTCTTCTTGAACTTGAATTTCTACATACTTCTGGGTGGATCTTGGTTCTTGACGGATCTGTTGACATACTCTTAGCTGGATCTTGATTCTGGCCGGACCTCTCGACAGAGTCCTACGCCGGATCTTGGTTTTTCCTGTTTTTCTTGGTTTGGTGTCAGAATAGATCTTGGTTATTGCTGGTCTTTTGGCCTGTTGTCAACCTCGATGTTTCAACTATTGGAATGTTGGATCTCGGTTCTCACTGGATCTTTCGACTTAGTTGAGACTGGACCCTGGCTCCTGCTGATCTGGCACAATACCAGACTGGTCGGTGGGTTTCTTCTGGTTCCGGAATCAGGAATCAGAAACCGGTTCCCGGAAGAAATCTTGGGAACCAAACACATGTCTGCTTTGGACATTGCATACATTGGACTTTGTGTACTTCTGACATTGTGAATGCCTCCCTCCCTAACAAACTGATCGCGTTGTGACCCTTGAATGCTTCCGAGCAAGTTGCTTGGAAAGCCCTCAGTTCTCGCCCACTTCACAAGCTTCACCGGCCTCGGTCGGCAGCTGTCTGACCATCGTCGTATGCCGGCCGCCAGGTTCAACCGCAGCTTCATCGATGCGTCGGTAGCGGCGACCAACGTCAACTACGGCGCGCGTGCACTGCGCACCAAGCGTGTGGTGCTCGTGAACGGCAGCATCGACCCCTGGCACGCCATGGGCCTCACTGAGTCTGCCGACGACCAGCGGCCGGCGATCTACATTAACGGTGGGCAGCGGCGCGGTGTGGCGGCGGTGAGGTTTACCCCGTTAGTCGTGGTGTGGTAACCGGTGTGAGGAAAGCACCCTAAACCGAGCCGCGCCTGCTGGCTGCTGATAGGCAGTCGGTAGTGTGTATGCAGCAGCTGTTTTTATTCCTTTAGAGGAGCGGAGATCTCGGTTGCCTATTCACTTCATCATATACCGGAATTAAAACTCATCTGTGGGAGGCAGGCTACCTGCTCACTTTTAAAGGATATATTCTGTGTTTCCGGTTGCGTGTTACAGTTAGAAAACTGACCGAAAATTGTGGTAATTCAAATGGTACCCACTATAACCCCATCCGTAGAGTCTGTTTCTCACCGCTAACCGATGTAACTGGTGTCGAATCACACACCCGGCTGCGTGTCGGCGCGATTTCACGCTGACTGTCTTCAGACTCTCACGTCACTGCCTCATGAAGTGACGCCGACGCTGCCAGTGCCATTTCACACAACAGTGCGACTTGACGGCAGAATCAAACGACTGCGTCAATGATACGTAATACTGCCAACAAGTGTCGACATTCGTCAGCTAAATCTACATGAAAAGCTACCGATTTTCGTGTCTGCTTTCAAGTAGCTCGTCCCACGCCAAGCACAGGCGCGTCACTGGCTTTAGGCGCGATCAAGACTTTTGGGAAGAACAGATGAAGAGTGGACGGGCAACTGACAACATTCATAAATACTACCACCTGAAGGGAAGGGGACGTTGGTCTTCCTGGGGCATCTGGGGCATCAATTCATCTTCTGAACCACTCCATCTTTAAATCCGAGCACTCATGGCCATTGAAATATAGAGGTTAGAAGAAATGCGACACGCCGGAATGCTTTTCTTATCTATCTTAGCGTAATGTATTCCCATCTAGTGGCACCGCCATACCAAGACCAAAAATGTAATTTGTTTTCGGGCGGCCGGTGCGCCTTCTGTGGCTCAGACTTGAATTAGCCATGATTCCTTCGTGAACTTCTCGCCGCGGCACAAAGAGCCCAAGACAACATAACGTAAAGTAAACAATGATAACTGCAGACTGATGTGTTCGACTGATTCAAATGACGCACTCCCTGCACGCTGATGGTCAGGACATTGCGCAAGGGCAGGGCTGCCCAGTATCAAATGACACGGCCTTAGAATGACGCAGACTAAAATCAGATGACTCTTTTTAGTCGTTTACGCGTGTTGATGGTAAGCGCTAAAGGGCTGGTTCTAGGTTTTGGTGTCGCCCAGCTGACTGTAAATGATACGCAGTCGGTATGACACTAATGGGAATCAACGTTCACGGAGTTGCGCTGGAATGAGAAAGAATGATTCTCAGAATCGGAGTCTGGTGACTCTTCCTGAACAGCATAATTGCGAAAACGGAGATCACTGACACTTTTTCGCGTTCATTCTCTTTCAGTGCATTTAATGGTGACGTTTAGTATGGGCTCGCGCAAAAACGCCGTCCCCGAACAATTACTGCGGACATAACCTGTCCGCCTCCTGATAGCTGTCTGCGTCATATCCGGCCACAGCTGTGATGGTAACCACGCTCGCGTCGCCAGCTGTCGGACGGCGACCTGAGCTGACCAAGCGCGCCCCACCGTCCGGCAGGCACGGCGCATTGCGCCAACATGTACCCGGCACGCCCGGAGGACCTTCCGGATCTGGTGTCCGCGCGACAGCGTGTCGGCGACCTGATCGGCCAGTGGCTGCAGGAGTGACTGCTGTTCTGCTCTGGCTCTGCTCCGACCCTGCTCTGATGCTCTGACCTGGCTCTGCTCTGATCCTGCTCCGATGCTCTGACTTGGCGTGTCTGGCAGCGATAGCACCGTGCCATCTCGAACCAGGTGACGGCATGGCACTGGTAGAAGATGCTGGTAGAACCGGTAGGTGCTGGTAGAGCTGGTGGACGGTGCCAGGACGCCACGCGATAGTCTGCTCACAGCGATATTTACGGGCTTTTTGTTGGGTGACAGACGAGCTGAAGCTTATGATCATGCTGACTTGGTTTTCTTCGTCGTTCAGCTTGCACAGTACAAATTCCGTGCTGTCGCCTACCTTCTTCACAGTCGTCTTTTTGTGTTTACCACGATGACGTTGACGTGTGCATAAACAAACGGTAATGATTTGGTTTGCTTGAAATCGGGTCGTTGGGAGGCTACCACCATACGAGAGGATAAGAGCTTAGGTGGTCTGACGTCGACTCGTCTGACGTTACGGGGTCAAGGGTGCTGTGCGCTGGAAAAGTGCTTTTCAATTGACACTTATGTCGTCTTAGAATTTTACAGTTCTGCTGCACACTTGGTTTTTACTAGTTCTGTGAAATATATGTTTAACATGGGTTCGATGAATATATATGCACTGTCTTCGGAAGGTCTGTATCATGAAGTTCATGGTATTATTGTGATTTGTACAACAAAAAATAAACACTATCACATCAGCTGGCACGCACGTACGCTATGAAAAAGATTCTACTGCTGTACAAGATAGGGCTGATAAGATTTCATGTACCCACCGGGAAAGAGAGTATGCACACTATACTTCGGAAAGACGAAATGGCATATGCTGCCTGTGTAATAAAACTGCACAGTTAAGTGATCACACCGCACGAATAATGGTGTGTGTTGTTAGCTCCTAGTTATGATGAAAACAATACTTGTAATTGAATAACTCGTGAAAAGCGCCATGGCAGAGCATGCGCATGCAAGAAAACGTACTAAACCCTCTTGGTTCAGCGAACACTTCCAGCACCACCACTGCCATCTCCCGGCGAGTTCGAAATACTACAAGTGAGTGCTATGGTGGTGATTTCGCATGGCTGGCTTGGCAGCACCTCAACGTCGTGCAAACGTTCCGGGACGCAAACGGACATGGACGTATAACAGGGAGTGGGTTTAGCCATTTTTGGAGTTTTAACTGTACACGTGGGATGGTTATGAATTTCGATTTAAAAACTTTGGTGTGAATGTTTTCTACCAACTCGCCTCCATCGAAGAGGTCTTGCCAGAGGCCAGAAAATTTTCTTTGGTTTATATGGATGAACGAAGTTATCGGGTAGCCCCCAAGCAATATTCACTACTAAACACATCGACGCTACTGAGAGGCATCGTTACCTCCAGCCAATGGCTTTTCGAGGATGTCGTTTGTCAGCGCTGACAAGAGCTTGCGAACAGAGCGATAACGGCGGCCATTATGTTGCTGTTTTTTGTGTTTGTTTTTTCTTTACATTCAGCTGAGGGCTGCGGGTGTACGGGGTTGGGCGTTTGGTAAGGCTGGTTAGTTGATACGTACCGCGATCAATTCATATTGACCTACCTGATATTCAGAGGAGGCACAAGTATTGTGTCGTGCTGCGCTAGGCTCTAGGAAAATGTGATTGACGTTGTTGTTTTACGTTGATCGGACACTACGGGATGGTATTACATGGTACTATGTTTTTCGAGCACCATGGTATTATTTTGGTCTCGCAGGACATAATAATATAACCAAAATGATGCAACCAAAATCATACAACACCGCTTCGGGTTTTGCATTTGAATAACGTCAAAGATTACGCTAGGCAGTATGCTTCGAAACAAAAAAAGTTAACCTGGGTCATTTTAAGTCAGTGAATAATGCTGACGTTTAAGACTATGGAAGATGTATGATGTAGTTCCTGTAATCAATAACATGAAATTAGCACCAGATTCTACCCCATACAGCAAGCTATTGAGTAATAAAACAGGTTGGTTTTGACCATGGTCTGACCTTTATCCTCACCTTAGGTCAATGGAACATGTTCGTTCAATTGTTGTGTTTGGTAAGAAAATATCTCAGAGATGTATGGATTCGTATTACACTCCTTTGTTGTATCACATTGAGAGATTCCCCAGAAATGGTCGTCGCTGAATCCATTGCCTGACTTTGACCTGCCGTAGGTCAGCAGCATTACAAGGTGCATCTAAATTTTTGGATACCAAACGGCTCGCTTTTCAGTTGTCTACAGCTATGCAGCACCGGTCGGAAGCCATTGCGAACAAAAGTATTCTGGGGTTAAATTACCTCCCCCCCACACGCGCGTATTTACTATTTTTATTGCAAATATGTGGATCATCTAGGTGATAGTTTCGGCTGTCAAGCAGTCACTTCTAGGCTGTAGGCAATGATTTTCAACTAGCAGCCAAGCTTTGCTATTTGCAGTGGTGGTACCAGGGCGTGCTGGGGGATTTACATGCCCGTGATGTGTGACTTTTATGTTGTGCGAGAGCAGAAATTCGTGGATTATCCTCTGTGATAGTTTCAGGTTTTAGTCGCTCGCTTCTAAGCTGAAGGTACGTGATTTACAACTTGCAGTTTAAGGGAATGCTCCATACTAGAAAATACTAACGCAAGCATTAGGTATGATGACATAGGATCACTTAAGCCTATTGCAATACTTTTAAGTGGAAAAGAGTGCTCTAGACAGGACAATTTCTATGTTTAGTGAATATGCTCCTCAGTTCGACAGGTTTTAAGAATGGTAGGGCTGTGAACTGCACTGAATGATCTTCAAAATGGCCATTTCAGTTCAAAACCCCATGCATATGTGCAACACTCCCCTTAAGGTTTCGTTCTTGTGACAACAGTGATAGCCAGTATTCAAGGTCGTGTTTTCAAAAGAACCAATGAGAATCAAAAACCAGGAACTAGGCCCATGGTATACAAAAGAACCGGAGAGAACCGGGATCCAGGGTTGAATATTTTTATATGATCCATTGGAATCCAGGATTTGGGGTTGTTTTGTCGAAGGAACCATTAGAAACCGGGAAACAAACGGAGAACCAAGCAAATGTTTGATGGCGTGGGTGCAAGAAACAACTGTAATTTGGGCAGGTTTCTAAAATGGTTGAAGTACATAGTTTCCATTTATTTTAAGGAACTGTAAGAAATACCTGGTGTGCCGTTTCATATTGTTGGGCCACCGCAATCCTCCCACTTCTAAGAAGGAGAAAATGGGAATAGGTGAGGCTTATATGGTATATATATATATATATATATATATATATATATATATATAAGGAATAGACAAGGGAAAAGGCCGTTTTTCATGCTCAGCCTTCCAAACTATGTTAAAAGACTGCGCCGCTGAGTAGCACCCTGTTGCTTCTCGAACATTAGGGCTGACCAGGCAGCTAAGCTGATTTTCAGGAATAAGGGCCGACAAGCAAGATCTTCTTTCTTGCTTCTTACATTGACTTCAGTCGAGACTAGAAAGTGGTTATTGCTGGATCTCAGCTTAATATCGAGGTTATCCTAGTTCTTGCTACATGAACCAGGCTGAATATTGCTTCTTGCTGGATCTCTTGACGTAATGTGATGTTTGATCACGGTTCTTTCTGAATTTTTCGACATTACGCCAGGCTGGGTCTTGGCTCTTTTTGGTTTTCTTGGTTTGGTACCAGACTGGCTGCTTGTTCTTGCTGGATTTTCCCGCTTGTTGTCGGGCTAGATCTCGGTTCTTGGTTGATCTTTCGACTTCACATGAGGCTAAATTCTGGTTCTTGCTGACACTTTCGGATGAATATGAGGCTGGATCCAGGTTCCTGCGGGATCCCTTAGCCTAATATCAGACTAGTTCCTGGGTTCTTCCCGATTCCGGAACCAGAAAACTGTTCCCTGGAGGATATCTTGGGAACCAGACATATGCCTGACCAAGGCACCTACATATCATACAAATAAACAAGGGGGCTGGTTTCAGTGTTAGTTATTGAGTTTTTAGGGCACGTCACCTGCATTGGTCATTTGAGTCCAGGTTTCAGATCTACAAGGGCACACAGGTCTGGATTGTTAAATTACGTTGGCATGGGCCAAAGTGCATTTATATTGCCATCACATTAAAATGCTTGGTTGACTAACTCTTGGGTTTTTTATCTTTTGCTGGCGAAATGTCACTTCTCGTCTGTCATTTAAAAATAGGAGACACATTTTAGGACATCCCCGTGGCTAATCTGCCAGTCAATCCTAATGATACTAATCCCTTGCCGGAGTGCTTCAACGCTCTGCTGGCACGCGCTCCAGTGGCATGCTGGAACAGTGGAGCGATTTTTTAAAAAAATCCAAGCTGAACACAGGCATTTATGTCAACATCCATAACAGTATTTGCAGCATTTTGCCCAAAATTTGCCCGCACGCGCTTTGTGATTGGTTTACTGCAGTGGATTGGTTTGGTCATGACCCAGTAGACCCTCATGAGAAAGATAGCCAGTTAAACCAGCCAATGATTATCCCAAGACATAAGTTCAGAGCACAGGTCACAAGGGTTGGTGAAACGGTGAGGTATTTTTTATATATTTTTTGCTTTCATGTTGTAAAAAGTGAAACAAGCAGATGTGATATCTGTAATGCAACTTTTCATGCATGTGTCGTTCGCATGCACGTTATCTTCTACCTTGAGCTACTCCTTTTAGCCAAGCCGTCACAACCGTTAAGCTCGTCCTACCTAGAAATTAGGCGCACTCACCTATGCCCGAGTGGGGGCCGGCAGCCACCCACAACCGGCTGTCGGTCGATCAGTTTCCCCCAACCCCCTCCAACGTCTAGCTCACAGACGGGTGGTCACGGTGTGGAAATAATTACACTGGAAAAATGTCGTTTTGAGTCGTGCTTGACACATGCCTTATTGAATGTTATTTTCGTTTCACACTAAGCAATTTTATGGCCTTAACATTCCTAACGGAATTGCACGCAGGGAATGCACTCTGCAAGTGCTGGCCGGATTAACAAAAATTGACTTAAGCGTTCTGTCCCTGCGTTGTTGAGCCGTGATTTGTACAATATTGTCAGTTAAACACGTCCGTAAAATGTTCTTTATCTTTGAAATCCCGGAAATTTCTCCCAAACGCCTGGTGTTCAACGCGTGATGCCGTGACAACACGTTGACAGCATAATTTGGAAAAAATAATCAAGACTAATCTGCTTGTTTTATTTTGTTGGTGCTAAACTCGCCATGCCCAATGGTATTGTTAGACGTAACTGGCCCTGAAGTCTCATCAAAACATTTTTTTTTTAAAATATGCTCCAAAGGTGGGACATCTTTGACAGCACGTTGGTGCTGCTGAAAACACATTGACAACGTAATTTGGAGAAGAAATTGATCAAGACTGATCTGTTTGTTATGTCTTGCTGGTGCTAAAGTCGCAATGCCCAATGATGTTGTTAGACATAACTGGCGCTGAGGTCTCATCAAATTATGTTTTAAAATATGCCCCAAAGGTGGTACACTCCCCTAAAAACAGAAATCCGTGATGTCAGGAATGCCACTGCAAGCGGCTTAAATCTGGGTGAAATCAGATTTCGGAGGTAGTTCGGTCGACGTCATCAGCTGAGCCCCCCCCCCCCCACATGCGGTTTAC